AAGTATATACAAAGCCAACCAAGGAAAGCAATGAACTCTACATAGGATCATAAAGAAAAATTATTTACGGGAAAGAAGTTAGATCTATGAAAATCACAATGTTAATGGAGACTGCAAAAATAGGAGAATTCACAAAACATGCAGGTACAGCAGCAACCGAGCACTCATAAAGCCATCTACCTCTGGTGTTTTCCTTCGCTACTAGGAGAGTCAGCAACTTCTATTAGTGCCAGACCTTCCCTCCTCGCAGATCCAGACCTGTGCAGAATAATTTGAAACATACATATTGCAGGAGAACTTTTGATGAAGGTATCAACTTCACAAGTCTGCCCAAAATGCAAAAGGAACCAACAAGGTCCATATTGACTATGATAAGCTACAAATATTGATGCTTAACATCACAGACAATAAAAATGGCATAATTAGAAGATATTCTGGTATGCATTTGGTATATGACCAGCTAAGCATCTATGATCTTGAATTCTTGATTGTCGTGTTATTAGTGTGGTCAATCAAAATCTATTTAGCACACTTAAAAATTTGAGTCATTGTAGAGAGAGAGAGAGCACTGAAAATTTGACAAATATTGGAAAAACTGGGTAAGACCCCACACCTGCTGTTGCTTCTTGTACCAAGTGATTCGGATTGATTGGCTTTTAGAAGAGAAGAGGGTGTCATTATTGGTAAACCCGGAAACTTTTCACAATCATGAATCTCCAACTCTTTGAGGGAGGTTAGGGGACCAAGACACCCCTCGTCTAAAGCTTTAAGCTCATCACAATAGGAAATGCTAAGTGAACATAAACTTGAAGGCAACCCACCCTTAAGAAATGACTTCTGCTCTGGTGATTCGGATTGATTGGCTTTTAGAAGAGAAGAGGGTGTCATTATTGGTAAACCCGGAAACTTTTCACAATCATGAATCTCCAACTCTTTGAGGGAGGTTAGGATTCCAAGACACCCCTCGTCTAAAGCTTTAAGCTCATCACAGAAGGAAATGCTAAGTGAACATAAACTTGAAGGCAACCCACCCTTAAGAAATGACTTCTGCTCTGGACAACCAGTCATCTTCATTACTTGAAGACATGGAAATGCACTCTCCATTTGTTGATCCCTAGGAAGAAAAGGCATCAACTGTTTACAGTTCACCACTTGAAGCATAATTAAGGCAGGAAGAGAATCTGGCAAGTGCACATTTAACTTTGGACAATCTTCCAAAAGAAGCTCCTTGAGACGGAAGAAAACTCCATCACCTTCAGCAAATGACCATTCCTTCCACTCTGGCATGTTCCAAAAATGCAAAATTTCTAGAGATTGAAATGGCTTAGACATAAAAGACCCATCAGAGTAGAACTCTGAAACTACCGTCATTACACTATCACATCCCCATATCTCAAGCTTTTTGAGGGATGGTAGCTGCCCGAATGGTGGCAAGAAAAAACAACTTTTACAATAGTGCAGACGCACCTCCACTATATCAGAAAAGGAATGATGTCCTACCCAATTTGAGAACCTTGTACCTCTGTATCCATGGATAGAAAGTTGTTTAAGGTTCGTGTGAGGCTGGAGAGCATCAAGTACTTGTCTTTCTTTTTGGGAATTGTCAGCGCCGGTGCCACTAATAGCCCATTCCAAGGTCAGCTCCTTCAACTTCTTCTCTTCTAGATTAGCTTCCAACACATCTCCAACATCGACAACATTCTCAAGCCCCCAAATATGAAGACTTCCGGATAAATGTTGAAGCCTTCTCAACTCCCTAATGCTGGAACCACCGTCTCTTCCTAAAACAAAATCGGTCAGTGTTTGCAACTCTTTTAGATTACAAATTTGAGGTGGCATCTCCTTTAAAGAAACAGTATTACTAATATCAAGATGGCGCAAGTTGATCAGGCTTCCCAAGTTCATTGGCAACTGAGTAAGGTTTGTACAATAAGCCAACAGCAGTGTCTGCAAGTTGTACAAAGTACATAAAGTTTCAGGTATTTCTTTAATTTCGGTTGAAGATAAGTCCAAATACCTTAGATATTTCAAATTGCCAATTGAAGTAGGCAACTCGGTGATAAAAGATAGAGGCAGTGAGAGTGCTTTCAAGCATCTTCCAGTTCTTGCCAAGAGTTCATCCACAACCAAATGGTTTGATGGCAGAAATATTCCTTGCAAGGCCAATGATTGTAACAATAGAAAGGTGCGCAAGAACTCAGCTTTAGATAAATCCGCATGTTTCATTAACTCAAACCCTCCAACGGATGCCAAATGACGAGTCTTACTTGTAAGGTTGTACAAGCTATTCTCATCCAACTTTAAACAAAATTCACCTGAGACAAAAGTAGCCAAATCATGGACAAGGTCATGCATGACAAGAGTTGACTCATTCGAACTTGATCGTTGAATCAATGACCGTGATATCAGAGCACGAATATACTCCTCTGCTACATCTTCCATTGGTCTTCCAGCTTTAGACTGCAAAAGACCTTCTGCCATCCACAGCAGAATTAGACGTCTCTTTTCATAATTGTAACCTTTGGGGAATATTGAGCAATAGGCAAAACATCGCTTAAGTTGTGAAGGCAAATAATGGTAGCTCAACCATAATACTGGAAGAATTTCACTACTCCCATTTTCTTGCAAATGCAACTCCCATATATCACTTTTTAGTATTTTTCTCCATTCTTCTAGATCAAACACAGAACGTAAAAGACCAGCAAGCGATTTTATTGCTAAAGGAAGACCCTTGCACTTTGTAACAATTTCACGACCAATTTTCTGTAAATCTGGATATGCATCTGAGTCAACACCATTAAAGGCGTGTTTTGCGAATAGCTGCCAAGAATCTTCATCCGTTATTACATGCAAGTCATGAATTGGAAAATTACCCATCTTTAATGCAACGGTTCTACTACGTGTTGTCACAATGATCTTACTGCCATTAGCTCCAAAATTAAAAGAGCTTTTCAACACGTTCCAGCTATCATAACTCTCGTTCCAAATGTCATCCAGAATAAAGAGAAACCTCTTCCCCTCCAAAGCCTCTTTTAGTTTGAATTGAAGCTTATAGGGATCCTCAATATCACATTTTTGAGAGGCGACACTTTCATAAATTGTTTTCATTGTTTTGAAAGTATCAAATTCATGTGATACCATAACCCATGCTTTTAACTCAAAATATTCTTTCACCCTGTTGTCATTGAAGATGAGCTGAGCAAGAGTGGTCTTGCCGATGCCACCCATGCCCACTATTGGAATCACAGAAATCTCATTGCTACTAACATCATCCACCAGCAGTAGTTTAATAATTACCTCTTTATCAACATCCCTTCCATAAACACCAGATTCTTCAACCAAAGGAGCAGGTAATCTTTGTAAAAGTTTACTTTGAACACCTGCTTTTAGGCCAAGGACCTCTTTTCGATCCAAAAGAAGTTTTAATCTATGAAGGATCTCCACTATCTTAGACTTCACAGCCTTGTCAAATGCAGTAAAGGAAGAAGGGATGAGTTTCATCAAAATCTTACTCATATTGTTGTTTTCGGATTGACCTTCCACCTTGCGCCTCAAAGCTTCAGTATTGATCTTGTCCACCAGCTCCTTGATAAACTACTTCTTTGAGCTCATCAAGCCACTTCCTAACGTTTTGATCTTCCATTTGTTTTTCCTCAGCATCATTTAGCACTGCACTTGCTGACAACAGCATTATCTCCAAGTCCTTGAGCTGGTCGACGATGAGTTTCTTTCCATGGAAGAAGTCCACGACCTCCGGAGAAGCCAATCTGTCAAACAAAAGTTGAAGGAAAGCCGAGAGAAAAACTCCAACAACCAGTTCAGCCATGCTTCTGCGCTTGAAAAGGAACACAAAAATTGATGAAGGGAAGCTCTCAGTTGGAAACAAGAGGGGTTTTGTAGTGTTTTTTTTTTCCTCTTTTGGGTTTGCTTGAAGAGGTTTTTGAGTTCTATGATCTGAATCTTATAGCAGTAAGCTCTACATGCTCCACTATTCGTCTGCTCGACCTTTATGCTTTGTTTTGGTTTGTCTCTTTTGCAATTTCCTGTTAAACATTTGAATCAGTGGCATGGTGTTAAGTAACCATGTCATCATCAGACATTAGTGAAAAAATAAAAATAAGTGATAATTGACTAGTTCAAAGGCTGAATACCAAAAGACGATTAGTGCACAATTTAATAATTAACTAGTGCAAAGTAACCATGTCATCATCAACTATTGTTCATTTGTTTGTATTCTCTCTACTAGAGCCGTGAAAAATTAAATAATTACAAGTATGAAAACGAAATAAAGAAATTGAATCTTAAAATATCTACAATGTCATAATCAGGGTGTTTGCACCGAATTTTCCTGCCGTCAAAAAGGCATGCTTGACAAATAATTGCCAGGAATCTTTACTTAACTGTTTTAAGAAAATTCCTGGCATCTCTTTGGTCCTTCCTTTCACATTTGTCCGACATCACTTTCAACAGTGCCATTAGAGGGGCTAAACAGAATAAAAAATTGAATGAAATGAAAGTAGGTAGGACAGGCCCATTAGTGGGAAACAAAGATGCACGCAAAAAAAAAAACAAAAAACAAAAAACGAAAGGTATCAGAAAAGTAGAAGATAGCTCCAAAAGAATGCCCTTAGGGATCATTAATACAGATGAGTAGGATATTGACATCCTACTGTTCCTTGGTAGACCAGAAAACTGAAATCAAGTGGTTGTCATAAAGTCTACACCTTTCTACATGAAAAATACTTCGAGGCGCCATTGTTATTGAGCAAGACAACTAATCAAAATTGAGCCGTACTTATGAGTCCTAACAACGTTGGTTTCTAAACCATAATATGCCAGTGATATCAACTATAACATTACAAATTCAAATCCAAGAATAGTCATGCCTAGAAGGCTTACAGAAATCGTGTAAAGCCCATTCCGGTAAAGCTTTAAGAAAGATTTGGATATAATATCAGAACAAGACCATTTAAACGGAGCTAAACATTTTAATGGACTAGAAGAAGTGAAGCCTCGTTCATTTCGCAGACTGAGATGTGATATTTTTTAAAAAAATTTAACTGTAGCAAAAAATATTAGATGTGATATTTTCTAAAAGCATTTAACTGTAGAAACTTAGAACTGAAAATTCGAATTAGTGAAATGAACGAGGCGTAAAAAGATTTTATTAACTCCTTTCTTCTAGGATATGAGATACTATGGTCCAAAAAAAAAGTCCCATAACTATCTTCAAGACTACTGTTGCCTAATTTTGTGAATCTAGAATCTCGCAAGTGCACGAGTCAATAAGTAGTAAAATGATGAATAATCAAGTATCGTCCTACAGGGATTGAGTGTTTTTTAAATCAAATTGCTAAGTTAATTATATTCAAGTTTTAAGAAGAAAACTAAAGTTGATTTTAAGATGTTAAAAACTAATAATAATAATCTGACTGTAAGAAAATAAACAACAAAGATAAAACTAATTAATAACAAAATGTGCAAATAACTTGGCCAATGTCACTGTTCACGGCTCACAACTGTTAAACTGTCTCTTATCAAGCTGCGCGTTGCTGCAGCAATGGACAGCAACGAAGACTTCTTGTTAACCAGATTTACTAAACCAGGGATTTTCCAATCCTCTCTCTACCGATCTTAAAGCTAAATCCCACAAATCCCTTTGTAAATCTAGACTCTAAAATCAGAGAATGAAGCTCTAAATCATATGGTTATGCAAGATACAATATATTCCTATATCATGTGAATCAAAAATCTAAAACAAGATCTAAGAACTTGCACTATTCAAGTTGTGTCCACTCAACTAAATCTTTCCAAATCTAATCAAAGCTATACTCCCCTCTTATGATTTCCCAATCACAGTTAAGGCACAAATTCAGCTCACTTGAATAAACAAAGAAATAATCATCAGATCCATTTAACATCACCGAACATTTCAATATTTAACAACTCAACAATCTTAGCCAACAAATCATAATCTTATAGAGTTATATATGGATTCGAGTTCAGATTTATTGAGAAACGTAAATGTTCTCCAACAAGGTAAAACAGAGTATTGAGAGTAAGAAAAACTAAGGT